ACAGATCCAGTGATTTTCATATTTAGAAGAAATGGAATTTATAAAGGTCTATTATATGCATTCATATCCCTAAGAATTTGAGTGTTTTTTCAGAAAACAAAACTGCACCAGTATTTGCCCATTTCCCAGGAAATATTTTCACACTATGTATCAGTCATCATCTTTAGTTTCATTGCCTCCCATTCAAAGAAAATAGCTCACAATATTTATAAAAAATTGCTATGTACATTTATACCTGGAAATTAAATGATTCCCTCTAAAATATTTTTGGCCAAAGTAGCCTTTGTTTTCTTAAGGAAATAATGCCAAAACAAAATTGAATAACTATTATTAAGCATGGCAATACATTTAAAATGCATTATTGATTCAGTTTTTTATTTGTCAGTTTATTGACTGGAATCATAGTTCTTCCAGTACTTTCTTTTGTAATAAGTCCATAATTTTGCTGCCTTCAGGTTTTCCCCACCAAGGATGAACATATTTTCTCTTTTCTAAACACAAAAGCTAAACTTTTTTTTTTAAAGGCTACACTTTACCAGTAGGTAGTTGGTGGAGTTCCTTCTATGCCATACCATAGTCGATCTGCCTCCAATTTCAATTTTACAGGAAAAGTGATTTCAGCAGTTTGTTTTATAAATTGTTAGTGCAAACAACAGTTAAATTATTACATATTCCTTAATCCTGTAGTGCCCTAGTGACATAATTGGGCAAGTATGTCAAGGGGAATACTTACTTAAATGTGTGAGTGAAATCGAAGTGGTGTATCTTGAGCATAGGGTCAGTGGAATGAGACTCAAAAGACAAAGCAGCTCTGCTTCTGTCAGACCCCAGAAAGAAAACTGATATGGAAGATAAGATTCTCTGCAGAAATCATTTTCATGTTCATTGGTTTCTAGGGCTCACATGTGACCAGATGGCCAGGTTTCTATATTCTACAGTGGAAATTTCACAGCATGCCAGCTTGTGCCACAACCAGCTTACCACGAGTAGATGATGTGCTAGCATCACTACAGGTTTCATCCCACAAATGTAAAGTGATGTACTACACAGAAGTGATTGGTTCTGAGGATTTCAGGTATAGGCTCTTCTTGTGTCCACAAACAGTTGCTGTATTGCACTGAAAAAAATGAACATATAGGGATTCCTCAAATGTTAATTCAGTCTGCTTGACCCTAAATTGTTTCTTAAGGGCTCTGTAAGTGGTAGCCATGTATTTATTTATTGTGTAAGGAGTTTTAGTATCTACACAGAAAGCTGTAGTAGGCACTGTGTGTTTGTGTGTGCGCGCGCACGTGCACACACATGTACATGTGTGCAGTGACAAAAGGACGGATGGGAAGCTAGAGGTAGAATTTAAACAAAAATTAGGAACCGTGACCTCTTGGAGTTTATAAATTTAGTACATGAGAAGATAATAAACAGTATAAAAGTAATTTTAGAAAAAGTGCTTCAGTATTATGTGGGATTACTCAGCAAAGGCTTTGTAGAGATAAGTTTTTAATTAGATTTTTGAAAGAGATGATAGTGGGAAAAGGGAGTATTTGGGGTTAATGTACAGTTCTTTGTTACTGAACCACAAAAAGATCTTAAAATTTCTTCCTTTCCATATGTTCAATTTCAGGGGCTCTATGACCAGCCTGGAATCCAGTCACAGTGGTTTCTCCCAGCTAAGTGCTGCCACAACCTCTTCCAACCAGTCCCACTCCAGTTCCCTGATTTCCAGGTAGTGCAGCAGTACAAGTGAAAAATGCACAGATGAAATGAGATGGCAGGACCTCCTCGGTGACAGCCAGCTGCACTACAGCATACTCAGCAGTGACATTTGTGCAAATCCCTCTCAGATCCTCTTAGATAGAAAAATAGTGGTTCAGATTTTAAATGCAGTGATTCTTGAACCTGAAGCTAACTCAAATAGGTAGTTTTAATTCCAAACCTAACTTTAAACTCAGTAGCCATAAATTTTGTATACAGTGTGCACAAAATCAAACTAAAGCACAAGGGCTCTTCTTGAAAAGAATAGTTTGTATACACTGATTAAGAAGTAGACCATTTAAAGTGTTGATGCAAAAAATTTTTTTTTCCAACAAACTCTACCATGGTGCATTAGTGAATGAATTCCTATGAGAACCTTCATAGATTAGACAGTTCCTTCTTCCTATGTAGGACAGAAACCTTCCAACTTGTCTCCCATAAATCCCATCTTTGTCGTTGTATTCTTTCTGCTATTCTTTTGAAATGTTCTACATATAACATGACAACTCACTGGACATCTTCCCCTCCACGAAGCCCTTTGTTAAATCTGGAATAATTCACAAACAGCTCCATTGGGAGCTTCCAGCCCTGCTGTGGCTGACTTCAAGTGTTACTTAATGAAAGGGATTTAAAGGAGGCTGCCCTAACTCGAAGGAAACTCTTGCATTTGTAAAACTGCACTTTCTTTGCCCTTCGCTACAATTTCCCAGCTCTCCAAATTGGCAGTTGGATTTTTCTGCTAGGAAAAATACATTTGTTTTCAGTTTGAGTTTTCTCCCTCCTCTTGGGAATTGTTCTTCGTATCTGAGATTCATCTAAGTCTGGACATTAAGTGCCCAAACTGTCTCCTGAACTTACTGTAGCTTCTCTCCTTGTATCCCTGATACCACAATGCATTCTTGAAACTTAATGTACTAAAACCATGGTCATCAGAACCTAAATATTTATTAACTAAAGGATATTTCATTTGGAAAATAGCATGTCACCAGCAGCCATTCTTTCTTGTAGTATTTTGTGGCATTCCCAACTCACCAGCCTAAATTTTGTTACCACCATCAGCATTTGCTGTTAATTCAGCAGAGTAGCTTTTGTAGAAGTCCTGCTTTGTACACAAGAACTTCCTTTTCTTTATAACAGAAGCTTAGTTTACATTACAACAGAATCCTCCATAGAAGGAAATCAAAACATGCAATTAGTTTACCTTTTACATTTTTCCCTTAAATTCCCAAAGACAAAAAAACAACAACCACCACCATGGCTTTTCTTTAATGTAATCCTGTTGTGGGAAAAGCAGGTAATTTAAAAATGTGTCCTAAAGTGAAACTGGAGAAGCCTCATTAATGATGATGTTGAAAGCATGCTTTTGTGTTGTTTTTAGAAATTGTGCCAAAACCTAAAAAGGCCATTATGTGTGTACCTAATGTTCATATCAATTTTGAACTGAATTGTTTTAAAAACAAAGAAATTTCTTAAGGCATCAGTTGGGCTATCTCTGTGGCCAGAGAGCTTTGGGGGGTGTGTGTGTCAGTGTGTCTGTGTACGCGCGCGTATGCGCCTGGGCCAAGGGGTGAGGAAGGGAGGAGCAAATAACAGATGGCTGAGAAAATCCAGCCTCCTGACACCAGTTAATTAAGTCCTTCCAAGGCTAGTTTATTTCCTGAAAGAATTCTTTAGCTTTTATGTTAATTTCCTGCCTTTCTAGACCTTAGCTGTTTTGCCTTTCATAGGATGAGCTTAACATTGGCACCAGAGTGTTGTTTTCAGAAAGCATGATAAAGGTTATTTAATTCGGTGGCATTTGTGCTGCTTCCAGATAGTGCTTCCTGTTTTCCAAGTTATAAGGACCTGAAGATGGTCCTCTCTTCTCTTCTTTCTCTCCTTATGTTTGTCTCAGATGGCGATTTTGCTGACAGCTGCAAAGAAAGTGCTTCACTCAACAATCTACATCTGCCCAGAGATGTTTGTAGAGCTATTTGAATTGTAGCCATTTTAAGTTGGCTCAAAAGTGACATATCTTTTTTTCCATGAGAATTTAATATGTCTTTAAGAGCCCAAAACCCATTACTACACAAATGTTTACAGGGTTTATTCATGAGGAAAGTAAGAATTAATTCTCCCTTTAAGAAAATTGATGTGACAAACATAATCTGATTATGCAGTTTGCAATTTGCCTGTATGATTTTGCTATTTCATCTCTTTTTTTTTTTCCTGAAGTGTGATACTATTACTGCTCTCATTCCACTTTCTTCTGGCACTGATGATTCTTTTGGCTTCTCCCTAGTATTACTAGAGTCTTAGCCTGCCCTTCTTCCTGAATTCATTATTCACATATCAAATTCTGTAAATGATTATAAACATATTACCTCACTCTTGGTAATAAGATACTGATAGTCTTTAAAAGATTTTTTTATTGTTGCCAATAATAAATGTGAACTGTTTAAAGAAAAAAAAGCATTTCTTTCTTCCCTGGATTCAGCCTGCCTAAATTGGAGTTTGGAAACGAGTGAAGAAGCTGAGTGTTGTTTTAAAAATTGGTCCTCACTTCTAGATGTTGCTAAAAGAAAAATACTTGGGTTCCACTTCATTTTAGTAGTTTCAAGAAGAAACTTAAGAGTATCTTAGATTAATAGTCCTAGTTCATTGATATTTAACAAAACTGTTCATGATTTCTTTTCTTCTCAGAATGTATGAAGTCTTGACCTATTGTGACCACAGTCCTGTTTCTTCAGTTGTTAAAGAAGCACTGTCTGAGAGGCAGCTCCTTAGGTGCTCTCAGAAGGAACAGATAGCAGCTTCTAAAACAAATGGGGTGTCAAGAAGGTTCATTTTTAATTTAGTTGAGGATCTGGAAGAGCTGTGTGATGGAGTTACAGGGCCCGATGTTATGATTCGATGAGCTTGGCACCCCCATTTCACCTTACACATATTGCATGTTCACTGGTTTGTGTAACTGTGCACACACAGTCTTATCCCTCCACCCCCCACCCCCATGACAAGTGCCAGACTTGTCTTAACATCAGCACTTGTAAAATATACTTTCAGTTCCTTCCTGGTGGATTTCTGAAAATTCAATCCCTAAGCTGCACTAACCTCTAACTGATACTATGTGAGGGAGAGGTTAGTGGAGTGAGAGAAAATGAAAGGTGGATGTGATTTTTTTTTCTTACAACATGGCTATGTTTGCAGTTGGAAAGAAGTTGCAGATGAACAAGCTAGTAGCCATTACATCCTATATTAGGAAGCCAATGCCACACTCCCATCTTGAGTGGTGAGTTCATTTGTTTTTCCCAAAAGCAGCACACAGCAAAATTTTTGACCTAGGAAAGAGTAAGAGAAATTTTACTGAGTAAATCTAGATAGGACAGTAAGGTGGAGAGGAGGCAGTACATTAAAGTTGGTCTCATGTGACTACATTTAAGGGTTTGTCCATAATAACATCCTGGGTCTTCTCTATTCTGAACATAATCTGGCTCACTTAAATTACTTAATTGATCTCTTCAGTTAACAAAGATGGAAAAAGCCTTTTTCCATTAATTTTTTTCCATTAATTTTTAAAGTGGTATATTTAATGTTAAAAATTGCTTTACCAAGCCTCTCATTTAGTGAAAGGAGGAAGAACATTGTTTTCCTAACGGTGTGAGACAAAATGAAAAGGCTGCTACACAGAATTTCTCCAGTAGTTTGCATTTTGCTTTATATCTTTTCTTCATTTGAATATCAGATATAAAAAGAACCTTAGAGTTCGTCTAATCTAGTATAACTACCCATCCCTTCCCACCTCCTTTCATTTTATAAAGGAGGATACAAGCTCAGAGAGAAATTGACTTGTACAGTTTTTTAACATTATGTTAGGAGTGCCTGCCCTTAATCAACTACATCATTCTCTGTGATGTATTTTCTATCTTCTCTCCCTCCCAAGGTGTTTAGTAAGCACACAAATGGAATGATAACAAAGAGTACACTTAACAAAGAAATTGTGTTTTTCTGGGGAACCATAGGAGGATGTTCAGTGCGGGTCTGCTTAAATTCAGCTTGTTTCTCTTAATGTCAGATTCCTAAAACCTTTCACAAAGCCCAAACCACACAAAAATTCCCAGACCTTTCAAGTTGCTTGTAACCAGATCTTACTGAAGCTGCAGGAAATATTGGCACAAAATAAAGTTTACCAATTAAGGATTTGGGGATACAGAAGCAGTGCTTGCTGGTTTGAAGGAAAATTAAGAAATTGATGCCTTTAAAAGGTAGGTTTCATCCTTTTGGATGAACCATCTCCATTGCTCTGGGGAATTTTGCTGCTTATAATCGTCAGTTTTAGTTTTGAAAGTGTGTGGCTTAACATTCAGCCACTCTAATGACAGATGAAGAGAGGCTGTGTGACTTAGTGGATAGAAAGCAGTTTTGGGGTCAAGAAAACTTAGGTTCAAATCTTATCTCTGATGCATACCAGCTGTATTACAGTGTCACTTAACCTCCCAGCAACTCGAACAATTTTCTGTTAAGTTATTGGTCTTAGCACATAGTAGGTGCTAGTTGCAGATCTGTAACTGGGGAGGGAGTTTCCACAATGGGAGTTCCATGCTTCTGTGAAATCAAGTGTCCAGACCCCTACCACATATCAAAAAAAAAAATTACCCAAGCATTGCAAAGAGGACTCACCAGTCTGCTGCAGGCAATAAAATAATTACCATGCTTTAAACACGTTGCAGAATGGAAAATAATTCCCAGCTTAGTATAGTCAGGGACACAAATAAATAGAGGTGTTACTACCATGTTAATTAAATAGATGTTTGGGAGGGGAGGAACTCCTACATAACAGATATAACCCTGGTCTCAAGCCTCAGGTGTTTTGTCAGTTGCTCTTAGGCATGATGACTAATTTGGTGGAGAGGATGACTGGGAGAGCTTTATAGAGAAGGGATTCTTCATTCCTGCTTTATTTAGGGACAGTCCAGTGCAGGGAGAGAAAACACTTTGGAAGGCGGACACATAAAGGAAAACTGGATCCTCAATACATCCCTGATTTTTAGCTTGCCTCCCTAGGGATTTCAGAGGAGTTCACTCAAGAGTGACATCAGAGCCTTTCTTGGTTTTACTGTCTTCCAGTAAGCAAGTTCATTCACACTCTTGTTTTCTTGTATGTTCTTATCTATATAATTTCTCCAATTTCTCTTCACTATTTGCTTTGATGAATGGGTTTACACACTATTTACTATTTGCAATTGTCTTTTATGTGACTAGCATTTGGTGAAGATTCAAGCCTGTTGGATGTCAACCAATGATAGCAGCTTTGTTGCTTTTGAACTAAAATAAACTTGTGCCCCTACATCAGCAGTATTTGGTGAGGGGAGTGGGCAGGAAGGAAGGTTGAATAGATACAATTCTAGCTTATTACCTCCTCTCATGGGAGAAGAGTGGCCAGCCTCATGGACCCTTCTCCTATGGTCAGGGATCAGATTCCCTTTAGAGGGGAGGGCAAGGCTTCTATTTGCCTACCCCACCCATTTAGACAATCTATGTGGAGATATATATATATGTATGTATATTTAACCTATATGGGCAGTACATAACTTCACAAAAGATTTATAGTTTCTTACAGAATACTTTTGCATACTAAAATGTTGGATATTCCCAATGTATCCTGTCCTGGTCAGACCACATACCATGTTCAGTTCTGGGCAATACATTTTAGGAAAGACATTGATAAGCTGAAGAGTTTCAAGAGGGGAGAGCAAGATAAGATTGTGGGGCACTGAGTTCAGGCCTTAAGAAGATTGGTTGAAGGAAATGGAAATGTTTATGCTGGAGAAGAGTTAAACAAGTGAAGATAGAGAATTTTAACTACATAAAATTTAAAAGCGGTTTCATATGAACAAATTAAATAATGCTGGGCTAAGAAGTGAAATTGTTAATTGAAGGAAAAAAATCTTTATCAAATGATAACACAGAAACAGGCTCATGAACCTTTCCCTAGGAGATAAGTGGTCAGAAGGTGAGTTTGGCTCACCTGGTCTCTGGAAGCAGCCCTTCTTCTGAGCTGGCCCTAGGATGTCATCACATTATACATGAAATCAATATTCACCTTACCTAAAGAAAAGGTACAATGTCCAAATAGCAGTACCCAAAGGAAATTGCACCAAATGAGACACGGAGAGTTTGTATCCAAAATTTGGTAAAGTGATCTGCAAGAGTCCCAACTATATAAACATGCATACCGTTGTAGTATTTTTAAGCTGTTTGCTTGGAAGATGGATCACCACTGCCCATGGGTGAACAATTATATTGGAGGGGTTTTCGTGCTCCTTGCTGGGCACATAGCTTCACCTTTAGCTCATGCTTTTACCCAGTTTGTTGTCTTAAGACAGTAGGCAGAATACAATATTTTTTTTTACTTGTCACTTTAATACTGTTGAGCTTCTTGTGCCTTGTGGGTCTTCTGTTGTTCACTTTCACTGAAGTTGTGCTTGGCACCTAGATTCATTCAGATGCAATGACTAAATATAGACTGAAGACTGAAAAGTGGAAGTCAACTTTAGAATGGAGTTTCCAATGGTAAGTGAGGGAACTTCAGTCTTATGGACAACTCCTTTCACAAAGATTTCAAGTTAGGTGATACCTACTGAAGTCAAAGAGAGGTGGTCCAAAGTTTTTCTGTGAAAGGGAGGCCCATCTTCCCAAAATGGAGCTCACCTGTACTCTATAATATGTATTTGGAGCCTGAAAGCCTATCAACTTAAACGATGTGACCAATGGCAACTGAACCATTGCAAGCTAGTTGCTTGAGCAAGCAAAATTTTATACATTTATAGTCATGGAGATCACAAATTTTCCAAAATGTTAACTGAATGTTGTAATGACATTTCAACTGGACTACTAATAAAAGACATGTGGCCATGCTAAAGAAGCTAAATGTCATTATTCTTCTGTGAGAGTATGATTAAAAAAAAAGTTCCATTTGATCAAATGTTATTTAAGTGAGGGAAGTGTTATTTGAAGTGAGGGAAAAGACACTGAAGTCCTGCAGTTCCAAAGGTGTGAGTTACTTTGGCCACATGTTCCCTACACAAGAATACCCTATGGAAGAAAAGGGAGGAAGGGGGTAGAACTTGCTTTTTCTCATATATGTGGTATGCACCAGACTACAAAAAATGGATGAGTGGGTGGAACTGGTATCACATGTTAGGGGACAGAGAACTTGTCACCAGCACCATGGTCAAGTTCAATTTCAGGACAAAAGGAGGCACTCAAGTCATTTAACAGTTAAAGAAAGGAGGTTTGGTTAGTCCCAACCCATAAAGGATATGAAACAAGGATATAGTGGCATTTAGCTTCTATAGATTTAGCCACTCTTGTTTTCATATGGAAATGTGTCTAGTCAGCAGTATGATTATTATGTGATTATTATGTGGTCTTTAGGCCTACATCAAGGTGGAGGGGACTTGACTCCATATGGGTGGGCCTTTTTATGTCCTTTAGTGACCAGGAAGCTGCCTCAAGTGGGACAGTGGTCAATTAGGTCCTGGGGACAGCTCTGTAGCCTTTTAGGAAAAATATCCGTTTTGGGTTCTATCACCTAGACTACCAACCTTCACAGCCATCATCCAGAGAAACAGCTACTGTGGAGGAGGAGACTGACCATCCTCCCCAGCTACTAACCAACTGCTACTTATGGGGCAGGCAAGCCAGCCAAGCTGAAGCAGCAAGACAATCTGGATGAAGGAGGCAGCATGTGTCGTGCTCATCACCATCACCTTGACTATCATCTCTTTTCAGATCCCAATGGAAATAGTCCAGGACCCTGTGTCCAAGAGTCTTGGTAATAGCAATCCAAGGTATTTCTCAGCCCTCATCCTGGAAAGTGATCTTTTTTGGAGATGCAGCCTGGTAACTGCAGGCACTAGAGCCACATATGTTGAAGGATCAGAAAAGAAAGTTCTTGCCATTACTGTCAAATGTCCACACACACACACACACACCAACTAATCTGTAGAAGACATTAAAGAACAGGCGTTACCGTCTAACTTTGCCACTATATCCCAAGGACCATGGAAAAGTTCCATCTGGCTTGCAGATGAATCTGCTATGGATTGTCTCCCCAGTTAGAATGTGAGCTCCTTGAGAACAAGGGATGTTTTGCTTTCCTATTTGTATCCCTCATGCTTAGCACATAGTGCTTAGTGAATGTTTTATTCATTCATTCATTCATTCATTCATTTCATTGAGGGAGACTTGAGCTACCTCCGGCATGTTCTCAGCTCTCTGAGAGGAAATGAGAGAACCCTGAGGCTCGGTTAGCTCTGTTCTACGTATGAGGAAGGGCCAGAAAGGGTAAACTAGAACTGTGTTCAAAACAGTCCATTCTTAGTCCATTCCTGGAGACTGGATCCCCAGGACCACTGTGGCAGAGAACCATTCCCCTTCTTAGGGTGGTGTTAATTTGTCACAGACATGGTTACTTAGAGTTTGGACACCTGACCTGGGCAGTCAGGTGTATGATTATGTAGCTATTGATTAGCAAGGGCAAACCTCACCCTGAGATGGGCTGGCTATTTTGCCAGCTGGGGACAGTTTGAGTGACATTTGGCTTGGATGAATAATCTGACTGGCACAAAGAGCCTACCTGGGCAAGAATAGCTGTCACGTCCCAGTGTCCATATCGACAATGGGCCTACTCCCCAATCTCTATTGTTCTTATAACAGCTCCAACCTGGTTGTTTAGCATAGGAAGTCTCTGATAGACATTAACATGCCCCACACACTGTCTACAGTAGAAGGCATCAATAAAATTCCTCCAATGATCCTGACCCCAAAAAGGAAAGCCTTTGATTGTCCAGTCCTGAGATCTCTAGGACAACTTGGCCACACTCATGGCTACTGCCCAGGAATCAGTATAGATAAATATCTTCTCCACTCCATCCCTCAAAGCTCTCTTTACATGCCAGCCATGCAGCCTAGAGCTCAGCCAACTGTGAAAACTTGCCAGGACTATCATTCCCTAGGGTATCCCATGCTATTGAATTGGTAATTATTGAAATCCAGTTGCACATACCTCTCTCCTGTTAGGTGGAACCATTATTAAACCAGGTAAAACAGCATTCCTCAGGAACCAGGTAATTATAGGTGGGGACCCACAGCTAATGGAAGGGGCAGGGTTGCAGGGCCTGGACTGGAGTTCTTAAGTCTCTTGCATGTTCATCATCTGTTTACCAACAATAGAGAGAGCACGATTTTGAATGTAGCATGTCTATTTAGCAAAAGAAGCTTCCTGTCTTCTACCTATCTCGTTAGAGGGAACTATCTTGCATCATTCAGCTCATGATAGGCAACTCAAGAGACAAGATGACGCTGTGTCACCTGTTCAGTAGCAACTAGGGCCTAATAACAGGTGAACAGCTGCTTTTTAAAAGTGATTTAGTTTGTGGCTGCTTTGAGGAGCTTGGAGCTCCTGAAGTTTAACAATGATATATTCTAGCTACTCTTTGGTTCCTATCAAAGGGTTCATTCAGCACGGTCTTTAAGGACAAAAGCTTCCAGAAATAGGGGCCTTGCAGGGTCATAAGGACCCAAGAGGAAAAACTGCTGGGCAACCTGCTTTAGCTTTTAGACCTGTAGCCTTGTCTGGGCCCCAGCTGCAAAGGTCAGACTTCAGCAAGTGACTCAGTAAATAGGGGCTATCAGGATCCTTCTTGAATTGTGAGGAAGTAAGCTTATAGTAGTTTATTTTGGGCTCATCCTTGAATGCCCTGGATTTTCCCCATCTACTGTAGTCTCCCAGGGACATTAGAGGATGCCTTAGGCTTGGGTAAAGTTGAAGGGTCCCTAGTACCCTGGTGCTCAATTTCCCTGTTTGGTTTTACTAGCACCTAGCTGTCAAGTGCTTTCTTATCAACCCCATGTTTCAGGAACCACAATCAAAGTTCCATATAGGAGAAAATGCCATTGCCCCTGCCTACCTAGCAAGGTAGAAGATTCTCTTCTCCATCTCCCACCCCCTAAGAAAGAAAACAGAAAGCAGAAGGTACTCAGGTACCAGGGACTCAGTCTTGCCTAATTAGACAAATACATATTCTTGATACTACTATGTACTTATAGCCACCATTGCCACTGGGCAGGAAAGTGTAGAGAAATCCCTTCACTCCCCACAGCTGGAGGGCAAATGCTGAAAGAATCCCCCAAAAGCAAGCTGTTTCTTCTCAGTTCCAGCAAGTGAGAGCTACCCACTCTGAGGCCAATCATGCAATTCAATGCAACCTCTGTCTCTGGTAATAAATCAGGAGCTGGTGTGTCCTATGAACAAGGCACATTTCCTTTAGCAAAGAGCCAGAAACCATGCCCCATAAAAAGAGATCAGAGCACATGGCCAGCTCTACAAGAGATCATGAGAGGTGCCCCAGTCCAATAGATCAGTTCAACAGAAGAGAGAATTTGAGCCCCATTGCACCACCATCAATCAATCAATAAGAATGTATTAAGCACTTCATGTGCCAGACATTGGGGATACAAAGACATGAGCAAAACAGCCTCTGCCCTTAAAAAAACTTACATTTTATTGGGAGAGGGTGCATAGGATCACAGATCTAAAGTTGTAAAGGACTTTAGGGGACATCTAGCCCAATAGCCTCATATACAAATGAGAAAACTTGGGCCTGGGGTGTGTGGGGGGTGTGTGGTTAAAGTTACTTGCCTAAGGTCACTCAGACAATAAGTTTTGGAGGCAGGAGATTGGAGATGGAACATTGTGTGGGAAGAACAATAATAAGACCAGTTTGGGTGGATCATAGAGTGCATCAAAGGGAGTAATGTGTTGTAAGGCTGAAAAGGTAGATTGGAGACAGGTTATAAAGGGCTTTAAATACCAAACAATTTATAATTGGTCATAGAGGTAACAGGGAACCATCCGAGTTTATTGATTAGAGAAATGAACATGGTCAGACCTGTACTTTAAGAAAACCACCTTCAATGTGGAGGAGAGATTAGAGTGAGGAGAAAATTGAGGCAGGGAGACCAATTAGCAAGCTAGTATAATAGATGAGGGCCTAAACCAGGGTGATGGCTGTGTGAATAGAGAGAACGGGTCATATATGAGAGATGTTGTTGGAGATAGAAATGATAAAATTTCACAGCTGATTGGATATGTGAGCTAAAGAAGAGGGAGGCACTAAAGACAATACCATAAAAATAATTGAAAATCTTATACCATCGTAGTGGCAAAAATGCAGAGGTAGAAAAATTATACAAAAAACTTAATGAGTCTTTACAAATTAAATCAACATGACTTTTAATAGTTGATGCAAAGGATGGTGAGAATTATATCTGAAAGTGTGGTTCAGGAATAAGGCCAAAGACTTCTAGGCTACATAAAAACTGCACACTTCCATATCATGAATACTTTCTTTGACAAAAGAATTGGTAAGCCCTAGACATGGTAAGCACTAAATTATAGCCAAAAAAGGAATTAAATTGATTATCTCTTAATAGACAAAGAAAGACTTACATGTACAGTCAGATGTTTGAGCCATGATTAGAATTAGTATAAAGCTACAAGAGAGAAAAACAATGATAAAAATATGTCACCCTATTGAAACAACTAAATCCTGACCTGTGTAACCAAGTTATTGATGGAAATGTGAATGGAAATATTGGAAATAATAGATAATGGAAAATGAGTAATGAATAGTAGAAACTATACCAATACCAGCTTAATGGACCAAGAATGCCACTGTTGGTCCTAGTGAATCTAATCTCTAAAGAAAAGGGTCAGGCTCTTTTTTTTCCCCATCTCTCTCTGTCTCTTTATACCCCCACTCCCAAATCCCAGTGAAAATCACTTAAAGCTTGCCTTTGACTCATGTCTAGGTTTTCCCCAAAAGATATCAGAAAGGTATTCAATATGCAATGTACATCAGGTTGTTTATTCCTCCACACAAAAGATTTGTTTAAAACACAATACTCAAAGCACAAATTCACAAACGCTTAGAAGACAAAAGTTACCCACAATTCCTGTTCAAACATGAGACACTTATTGGAACTACTGAACAGCCATTTTACTATTACTCTGGCTTGTACTGTTCAAACAGGTCTTATGTCCTGGCAAGCCAGGGCATGGTTTAGGGTCCTTTTCCTGTCACTTAATCAATCAACAAGTATTTGAGTCTCCTCTTTTTTTAATTTAATTTTATTTATTTTTTGCGAGGCAATTGGGGTTAAATGACTTGGCCAGAGTCACCCAGCTAGTGAGTGTTATGTGTCTGTGGCCAGATTTGAACTCAGGTCCTCCTGACTCCAGGGTCAGTGCTCTATGCACTGTGCCACTTAGCTGCCCCTTGAGTCCCTCTTCTGTCCTAGGTGCTACAGAAAGAAACACAAAGAAATACATATCTATTTGAAATGAGCTTATATTCTAATGGAGGGAAAGCCTCTATATACAAAAATACATGCAGCATAAATGTAAACATAAATAAATTTCATATATATGCATGTGTATATGCACACATATACAAAGTAGTTGAATATAAGGTACAATGGGAGGGAGCCATTCTTCCCAATTCAGTGGCCAATCCTCTTTAGTACTGTAGCCCACCATGAAGGAAGCAGAGAGAAGCACGGAGGGACCAAGGTACCAAGCACAAGCTTACTTCATCATCCTGAAGTATAAGTTCTTCAGCACTGGATGTACATTTCCCCATAAATGACCGGAGGCTCCACAATGTTCTGTGGGATGGCCTCCACAGGCTCATCCCCACACATTCTCCATGGGATATATTCCAGTCCAATCCCCACTATCGATGATAATTTTATGCAGATGTTTAACTGATATAAGCCAAATATCATAAAGAGAAAACCAAAAGAGTAATAAAAGCACTTTAATCAGTGTAAGCTCTTGATATTACTTGCCAAGAAGAGGCAGATAGCAGGCAAAGGTAACTTTTGCAAAATCTTTTGGAAAAAAGATTGAAACAGTATGGTGTAGTGAACAGAGTGCTGAACTTGGGTTCAGATTTGTGACTTTGTACAAGTCATTTAACTTCTCTGTGCCTCAGTTTCTTAATCTGTAAAGTGGAGGGGAGTTTGGATCCAGTGACCTCTAAGGTCCCTTTCACCTCTAAATCTATGCTTCTAGAAGATGATGGAAATGTATAAGCAGTCTCAGCTCATAAAGTAGAGAGAAGCAGTGAAGGGTTAAAACATTTTAAAAGAAAGTTTTGTGAGATTCCTTCTAAGCAAAGTCATACTTTCCAAGATGAAATTGAAAGACCGACAAGCAAGAGAAAAATGGAAAGGATGAGCAACCATTTTAATAATAACCTTTTTTACCATCAAGGTCAGTAGAGTCACTTACCTTTGGACTATCTAGCATGATAGTCTTCTATGTAGTTATAGGAATGGCACCAAAGAGGTGGGAAAAGCAGCCAGACTAGAGTAAGTGTTTCTAGAGGTGATCTATACTGGAGTCCACACAATTTGAGGGCACAGAGGGTTTGCTGCACTCTTAAAAAGAGTGTGAAGCCTAGGACCAGCAGAAGATTCCCCAGTTCTGCTTCTTCAGCATCTCAAGTCTGGGGTTTGCTGTTGTTATTATTCATCCTTCTTTCTCCAAGAGGACCAATGATGTCAGGAAGGTGATATCTTGATTTGCAAGTGAATTGGATTTAAGTAACACAGGGCTGTGCAAAGTCATCAGCTTCACTCTCTCCTCCAGAGTCATCTGAGTCCAGTGGCAAAACATAGGTCAGGATGATTGGTCTTTCCCAGGTTTCAGTTTGTCTAAGGCAACACCCATTCAGTGACTTAAGGCTAGGTAAGAATTGAGGCACAAGATGGCATTGTTTTCCTGCTCAAAAGAATCAATCTGGGAGGGGAAGATCCTCAGGGTTTCTGCCAGTATAGAAACAATTGCTATTTACATTTATACTAAGCCATTAAAACCCAGTGAGCAAGTGAGGCTTGAGCTGAGACCTATTATTGGGGTTTTGTTATGTCTGAAACAGAGAAGAGCGTCTTTGCTCTTTTTGCAAGGTCATCACAGAAAGCTAAAGACCTTAAGCTTAGTCTTGTTTTGACAACTCTTGAGGCTGCGAATCTCCTTGAGGCTGATCAGACCCAGGTCTTCCCCCTTCTCCAGTTCCATCATCATTCTTTTCATTCCATCTCATTGCCTTGAGGAGTCCCAACATCATGGAAAATGGGACAAGGTATTAAAGCATTAAAATATTTTTTGCTAGACTTTTCACTAACAGAGGGAACTCCCAAGGAGTAAACCCCTTTTACCAATTCAGATAAACAAATAGTCTTAGAGCTGCCTAGGGCCCTAAAAGATTGTGACCTGCCCGGGATCACACAGGCAGTATGTGTCAGAGGGAAAACTTGAACCCAGATTTTCTTGGCTCCAAGGCCAGCTTCCTATTGGCTATGTCGCCCTACTTTTCTGGCAGCTGGAAATAATAAAAACAGAAGTTACTAACAGAGAATTGATAATAAGTAAGGAGAGAATAAGAGAGCCCTTAGCTGTTGTTGACAACTCAAGTCACCTTGGGTCCTCAGAGAACTAATAGATGTGATTGTTTAGCAACTGTCAGTGATATTTGAAAGATCCTGGTAAAGGAGAAAGGTATCACAAAGTTGGAGAAGGAAAGATGTCCCAACGGCCTGGATGGCCTGACTCAAAAAGTAGTTATTTTGTCCAGCGTCAACAAGGCAAGAGGAGGCTCTCTATTTTTCCATATGATGTACATATTTTTTATCAATTACTTGTATAAAGGCATGGATAGTAACCTTGTCAAATTTATAGAGGGCAATGCTAAGAGGAATAGTTAATACAGAACTGTAATATGTACCAATAAAATCTTTGCTCTCTCTCTTTCACTCTCTCTCACACACACATATACACACACAAGTGCACATGAGTGTACTTACACATGCACACACACATACACTGACCCATATGCACTAAATGAATGATATTTTAGAAATTCCAGTTTCTTTTGAAAACATGTGCCAAATACAGAAAGTGGAGAAACTACTGAAAGCAAGGATTGGGGAGAGGTGAATACACCAACAGAATCATCTCTTCTTTGTGAGAACAAGTGAGGCAGAAGACTAATATCATCAGCTCTGTTCTCAGCAGTGCAATTGTTGCAGTATCCTTTAGTCCCAGAAATTCCTCAAAGAGTGCTCAGGCATGCAGCTTGTAACAGGGACAGTAGTCCCTTTCCCCAAAGCTGTGTAAAAGACTGGATCTTGGGAGTAACATGGGGCTTCTCTTCAAGAACCCAATTGCAACCTTTCTCAGTTATTTTATCCAGCTCTCAGCACTCTTGGTGACAGGATTTTACTACTAAACATGCAATCAGCTCTGCTTTAACTCAGCCTTAAGGCTTCAGGATGCCAACTGCTTAAAAATCAGTTGGAGTCAATCCACATCCCAGCCATCAGACTCAATTCCAACAGAATGTCCACTGACATTCCATGCCAAATATTATGTGAGGTGCTAACATACATTCTATCAGAGATAACTGAGGGGAAGAGAGGAGGAGATGAGAAGGAGGATAGATAATTTCTTGCCTTAAATGACAGCAGTAACTCAGAGTGCTCAGGTGGTACCCTACTGTAGTTATTCCTTTCATCTTCCAGCAGGATGTAATATATCCTATGGCCAGCAGAGGGAACACAAAGCCTGAATCAGTCATGGCAATCATCCACTTCTTTCACTTTTCACTTTGGAAGCACTTCCCCCTGGTACACTCTACTCTTTCCCAAGTTCGTATATAGGGAATGAAAATATTTTAAAATCACCAAAACATTTACAGCAGCACCTTTTGTGCTATCAAAGAACTTCAGAGGAATGGCTAAATAAGCTGTGGTACATTAATGCTACATTAAGGATGAGTAATGGAAAAGGCTTCTGTGAACTGATGCAAAGCAAAGTCAATAGAACCAGGTAAATAATATATGCAGTATGTAAATGGAAAGAGCAACCACCACAAAATAATTAAAACTTCATGCTATGAAATTATATTGATCAAGCTTGCCTCCAAAGAAGAGACTGAGAAATCACGTCCTTACCTTCTTTGTAGAGATGGGAAGCTCTCTGGATAGTTTTGACAACTATTTTTTTTTCCTTTTTTTAATTCTTTGTCAGAAGAGATGACTCTCTGGGAGGGTAAGAGGATGGGACACTGGCAAAGTCAATGATATAAAAGATAGCAATAAAAATTATTTTAAAAAGGAAATAAAATCATGATTGCCATACTCATTTGTCTCTATTTCCATTCTTTGGGATAATGAGCTCAGTTTCTCTCCCCTCTGGGCTCAAGATATTCAAATACAAACAATGACATTTTAATATACACAAAATTAAAATCAAAAGTAAAAGACCCATTATCCTATAACCACTAAGATGAGTACCATTCTCTTTCCTCTTCTGCTTACTTACTCTTCTGTCCTAGGGAAACCACCATGCATACATTCCCATAGCTCACAGGGAAGGGGAGAAAGGAAAGACTCTCTCAGAATTCCTCTGCTGATTGTGGCATTGTATCTTGACCCCTTATGGCTGATTATGGTCCTACTGGCTTCCTCTCTATCAGAACAGGAAGACGGCAGAGACGGGTATACTTACCCTTTGTGTCTCGAGCTCCCAATTATCAGGAAATGCTTTTTTGAGTATCGTAAAAGTTGTTCCCACATGTAGCGTATGGGCATCCCTGTGTGGCTCAAAGGGACTAGACATCTCTCGACTCTTTCCCTCCCCACCCTTCTCCAAGGGAAACTTTAATTTCTGCCAGAAGGGGGAGTAGGAGGTGGGGGCTGGAGGCCATTCTTGTTCTCAGAGAGAGGGGCCAGTGAGTTAGAATTACATCTTTCTGCTCCCTTAAAAATTATTAGTCTAGGAGACGTGATTTTTAGGCTCAAGCCAACTTGTGATTACTGTCGTGTTAACTGGGGGAAAAAGAACCCCAAGCTCTATATCCAAGGCTTGACCTCTTTCCCACCAAATACCAGTTCCACAGTGAACACATATAGCAAATAGCCAAGAAATCCATTTAACCAAATAGCAAGATAGAAATCAGAGAAAGTATACACAGGAGAATATACAAAGCCCATACAAAGTGAAGGAACTCTCCCACTCTGAGCAAAGTAACAGCTCAACAAGACAGAGTCCTAGATCTCACCCAAGGGAATGTGGTAAACTGGGGATGGGGGGATGAGGAGACTGCCAACTCCTTTCATATTGACTTTCGAGTGAGATTAGCACCATCCATTTTCTTTCTCCAATCTGAAGCAAGAAGTACTTGAAGGAAGAGACTGAAGAGATTCAAGTTACTCAAAGCAAACTGAAGAGCTACTCTCAGGGGCAGCTAGGTGGTGCAGTGGATAGAGCACTGGCCCTGAAGTCAGGAGGACCTGAGGTCAAATGCGGCCTCTGAGCAAACACTGGATGCACTAGCTGTGTGACCTTGGGCAAGTCCCTTAACCCCGATTGCCTCACTAAAAAAATTTTTTTAAAAAGAGCTACTCTTACCAAAGCCACACTGCCCTTCACATAGATGCAGGACATTGATCTCAACCAATAAGAGAGAGTTCTATACTAAGTGAGTTTGGGACTTGGGTTATATAGGGAAAAGTAGATGAAGGAATGAAATTGTCCTTTTGTGAGGAGCTAAGAGAGATCAACTAGTCTCTCTCTCTCTCTCTCTCTCTCTCTCTCTCTCTCTCTCCTCACACACACACACACACACACACACACACACTCTCCTTTGTTAGGGATCTATAAGGATGTAGAGAGCCACAGGCTGTTCAAGAGGTCTCACTGATGGGTGAAGGCCCCTCTCTGGTGCTGATCTTTGAGCAAAGGTTGCCTGGTTCGGTGCTCCGTTGTATGGATCTGTAACAGTCTTTAACTCCCCTAGTTATTGTATGGTCATTAGCAGTCTATTCTGGGATTGGAGTCAGATAAGCGCACAGGACGTGCATGCACTATACTTGAGCACAGCATGGGCTATATGTCATTTTAACTTGAGAAAGAGTTCCTGTTATTTTACTATATAAGTAAGTGCTTTGCTAAAAATAAGCGGGGTTGCTTCCATCTTGTCTCCCGCCTCATCAATGCACATTCGAGATAGAAGGTTAAGCTGGTCTTATTCCTTCAAAGTTAGGATCCTGGCTCTAGTGGCAAGCTGAGTTAGCTGTGCACAGCACTCCTTCCTTTCCTCCCTTCTTTGTTATCAGACTTACATTTATTATTTGTTTCCTTGTTAGGTTTGGGTGTTTCTTGGAGGTCTGCAGCATTCTACACCTTCTCACTTTACCGCAGCCAGGGAGGGAAGAGCTGCATGAACTGGAACCACTTAACGGAATGTCAGTGTATGCTCCACATTGGGGAGCAGAGCAGAGCCTTTCCATTATATGTCATCATGCTTTTCCAGAAGAAGCCTCTTCCATGTGGGATTGCATCAGCCAAACACACTGTATCTGCTCACCAGCCCCTCCCCCTACATAAGTTCTAAATTGTTCTTTATTCTCTGTTTCTCTTCCCATAAAATTCCTGTGGTCAACCCAGAAATGTGAATTTTCTGTATGTACTTTGCTCCCCCAGTCAGAGCGTGCAAATGGGGACAGTTTTTGCTCTTTGACTTCACAGAATTCAACTGGCAAGCAAGCAACTTTAAGAATTCCCATGTCAGTGGCAGCAGCTGCTGTGGGGCTAGGTGAGCTAGGTTAGTTTGGTTTATTATGAAACTTCTGGGACTATTGAGTCTAGACTATTAAGCCTATTGTTGTAATCCAGGTGAGTCTCATTAAGTCCGCAATACCAGAGAGAGGGAGAAGGAAAGAAGAAATGAGAACACAGCTATAGGCTCCATTCCAAGCCCCTGGCAGCCCTAGGCAGCCCCCCAACTAAATGTTCTTCATTCAACCGAAGGAAGGGGACAGAGATAGAGACACAAAGAGGATGCAAGAATACTTCACCTAGAATAACAATATTTTAGAGAGTGTATAAATATATAGTATATAAAGAAGAAATATGAGAGGACCATCCGAATCCCTCCCTTCTTGGAGGTGGGAGCTTCACAGATGCTGCATGTTGCATATATTTTCAGTCTTATTGATTGTACTGATTTTTCCTCTTTTTTTTCTTTTAAAAATACTATTTTTATTTGAGATGACTGTCTAGGAAGGTGAGGGTGAGGTCTCCTAGGGAAATTATAATGATAAAAACATCAGTGAAAGTTCATTTTTTTAAAGTTCTGGACTTGATTTATCTGATGAGAGGGAGAGATGAGATATGTGTGCTGATACCCATTTTAGGGCCACTGGCAGCACTTCCTGCCTTACTTTTCTCACAGATCAACTTTGCTTCTCCCCTGATGTTTTGGGAAGGTTGGAGGTACATAAAAGACAGATGATCTGCTTCTAAAAGACCTTAGTTTCCTCTCTGCTTGCTGCTCCCTCGTGGAGAGCAGGCGACTGGCGCTGAGCCAGCACCCAACATCCTGTTCACAGGTATACCAGGGGCTGGAAAGACCACACTAGGTAAAGAATTTGCATCAAGAACAGTACTGACATACATTGATGTAGGTGATTCAGCACAAGAAGGACAGTTATATGATGGTTTTGATGAAGACTATGAATGTTCCATTATGGATGAAGACAGAGTAGTTGATGAGTTAGAAAATAAAATGAAAGAAGGTGGAGTTTTTGTTGATTACCATGGCTGTAACTTCTCCCCTAAATGATAGTTTCATATAGTTTTGTGCTTCAAACAGATAATTCTGTATTATATACAAGACTTGAAAAGAGGGGATACAGTGTAAAGAAATTACAGGACAATATTCAGTGAAATTTTCCAAATTCTTTATGAAGAAGCCATGGCCTCCTACAACCATGAAAGTATGCTGACTCCCCAGAAATGTACCAGAAGAGCTAAAGAATAATTTAGATCAGATAATGAAATGGATTGAGCAATGGATAAAAGATAACAATTGAACCTTGAGGGCAAAGCATAGACTTTCAAGGTTTTCCGCATATTGGTTAAAGATTTTCTTGAAGATTTATCCTACCTCATGCAGTAGAAATTAAGACAACATACACCAAACTTTACTATCCAGGTTTATGTTGTAAAAGTATCAGGTGGACAATATATAAAGCTGAGTTATGACTAAATTAATTTTTTTCTCCATGAGAAAACTGAAAACCCCCAAATACAACGAATGAGATATTGAAGACTTTTTAAGTTCAGGAATATTCAGCGTTTTCATTTATTTTGATTAACTGCTAAAGAATAAGCAAATTTGAGAAAACAGGTGGAAATCTTTAATACTTGACATGAAAAAAGAAAATGAAGGCTAGGAAGAATTGCTGACTTATAAATAAAAGAGTAAGGATAAAGTTATAAACATTACATTAAGTGTTCTATTGGTGGTGAATTGCTGCTGTTTTTTTTTTAATCTTGGAAGTTGGTTAATAAATTAGTTACAAAGTAAATGGTGAGATCTTTGAGAAAATAGCATTTTTTTTAGTACAAGAGTTCACTGAGCTCTTTCGCCTATAAAATCACTGCTGATCCTAGCACTGATAAATGTCTCTGCAGAAGAGTAAGCCGATCACATTTTCCATAAAAAGAAGGGCAATGGCAAAGTCTTCTGTGCACCCATGGAAACTGTAAATATTAATTTATTGGTCGACTAATTTCAGTCTTGCTAAGTTTAATGAAAATTCATGTGATAATCCTTTGCTACCATATAGGTAGTGGTAATTTTTAGATAAAATTTTAAAATATAGTGATTGTGTATTTCATGAAAAAAAAATAAAAAAAACTTAGTTTCCTTTAAGGCAACAGGTACCAGTCATTTCCTATGTAAAGTCCTTCCCAAATCCCCTTACATGATGTTGCTCTCTCTCTCTCTCTTCTCAAATTATCTTGCATTTACTTATCTATTAACATGTATCCTATGGGGGGTGGGAGACAGGAATTGATTTTCCCTTTCTTTAAATCTTTGAATTTCTATGTCTTGCATATGGTAGCCATTTTATAAGTGATGGTTGAATTGAACTGGAATACCCACTAATACTAAATGTCGAAAGGTTTTTAAAAGTATGAAATTCTTCAATTAACCTAATGTGATTATAGGATATTTGCCCTTGGATGAAGATTAACTGAAACCACACATTTGTTCACCTGGGGTAGTCATCTCTCACAGGACACAAACTGTGAGAGTGGGTATCCCGAAGGGGTTAAATAAGATTTGTGTAACGAGGAATTTTACTTCATTGTCTTGGCCTTTTGAATCTCTCACAGTGCTGGCAATTTAGAAAGAGAACTAAGCTAAGCATATTCTGAGCCCTTCCTACATAATAGGAACTTACCTGGAGCTGTGCTAATTCCCTCTGGGATGGATAACATAATAAGAAGATGATGGTTCTAACTTTGGTAGATTATAGGCTCCATTCCAAGCTCTATTGCTACTGTCGCCCTTCCTCCTGTGTTGGGACTGCCACCTCTGCTCTCTCCTTGGTATTCTGCTCCTTCCTACAGAGGGCTTGTATAACTCTGCCCAATCCAGTCCAAACCTGATGATAGTCTGATCTTTTCCTGAGGGGCTGATCAGAGGAACAGATTCTTAGCGAGAATCTAAACTGTTGCCATCACTCATAGAAAAATTCGTCTGAACCCATCCAAACACATATTAGTGGAGCAGCCCAGCATCAATCATCTCACAACTAAGGTGTCATCACTGGCGGACATCTTCCAACACTGAATTGAATAATATTAATTAGCTATATGACAGTTCACATCATGCAGCTATTTGGAGGTTCATTTCATAGGTAACATAGCCTGGTGGGCCAGAGACAGCAGGGCGTGGTGGAAAGTCCACTGAATTTGGATTATTAAACAGAGTCCCAGCACTGGAATTCATGTATGGCTTGGACAAACCACTTCTTTGGGCCTCGGTTTCCTCACCTATAAAATAGGAGGGGGGACTTGAACTAGGCAATTTCTAAGACCTATTCTAGTTCTACAACTATGGTTATTAGAAATCAGTCACTCTTCTCTGTGTAATTCAGGCAAGTAACATCAGCCCATAAATTTTTTTCAAATTCAAGGTCTCTCTTTAATGTTATGTGATGCAACTCTAGATTTACACAAAGGTTTAGACAACACAATGTGCTTGTGTGTGTGTGTGTGTGCGCATGTGCACATGTGTGTGTGAGTTTGTGCATGTAAAACATTAGCTCTATTTACAATACCTCTGCAGCCCCGCTTGAAACCTGTGTTGAAGTGGGTTGGCCTTCCAATTCTGGGAATGGAGAGAATAAAAACATAGTCATACATTTATACATACATACACATCAGGAAGTCAGAGATGTCTGAGTTAAGTTCAAAAAAAGAGATAATGACTGGATATGCAGAATTGAGAGTCATTTGCATATAGTTGAATCTACTAGGAGCTGATTAGAACATCAAAAGAGAGGGTACAGAAAGAGAAGAGGATTGGGCCTAAGATAGATCACTGAGGTATGGATGAAGATCCTACAAGGAGTCTGAAAAGGATTGGTTGGATGGGAAGAAGGGAACCATGACAGAGCAGTATCACAAAAATCCAGGGAATGAAGAATACCCAGAAAGAGGTGGCCAAAAGTTTCAAACACTGCAGTAAGGCCAAGATGGAAGCAAAATGACAATAAGCTATTGGATTTAGCAACATAAGGTAGGGTGTGTGATTCCATTCCCCCCTTCACTATGCCTCCATACTTTTCCTGCCCCAGATTCAACTAATGCAACCACAAAATGTAGTCACATGGAAATCACACACACGAGGTTTTAAATGTGTCAGCATGATGATTCCTTTATGGGGTGTAATTTGATTGGATCAAGAAAGGAACAGCAATATTGACTACCCAAACAAGCTAACCATGCCTCTGAGGGCTTTAAATAGCCAGAAGAATTTTAACAGTCAAGCAGTAGATCAGCCCAGCAGTGAAATAGTCCAGGAGTGGAATATTCCAGAGTCCTCACTAAATATTATTGAATATCGTTCCCCTGTTATGGCTAAGTAAACCTTTTTGTTAACTGTTAACTGATCTACTAGTGTCTCACTTTATGCCAGTTCCAAATCTGCAACCTACAATAGGAGGCAATGAAAGGCTTTCTTTCTCTCTCCTCCTCCTCCTCCTCCCTCCACACTCCCATTGACCATGTCAACCGAAAGATAAGACAGTGCATCCAGCCAGGTCCAGAGAGACTGGAACAATAGAAGGCAATGTATCTAGCCAATAGTACAGTGAGACACTGAGGATAGACTTGGATATGGACAGCCGGTCACTAAAGGAGGAAGCAGTGTCATAGACCATAATAACCTCATACCAGGGGAGAATACTAGCTATGAACTTAAGAAAGGAACAGATCCTGAGAGCCTAGGTAAATAACTAGCCCAAGCAGAGATGCATCCAGAGGGAGCTAGGTGAGGACTCTCTCCAAAAAGGAGAAAGGACTTCCAGTACCAGGAGTTGTGAGTTACCCTGTTGTCACACCTGCTCCCCACATTATGCCTCACTATCATTATACTTTAAGTTTGAGTCCACTCCTCCCATGGTGTTACTGTATTTATGGCAAAGTACAACCCAGACTTTGGGGGAAATGTCTTTGTAATACCTGTTCTTACTCTACCTTCTGAGTAAATGCTTTGGCTGATGATTCTCAAATTTACTTATCCAGTCCTAACTTCTTGCTGACCTCTCTTACATCTACACCTATTGGACACCTCAAACTGGATATCCCATAGACATCTTACACTCATTTCCCCTCCCTTCTCCAAACCCTTCCAAACATCTTTATTACTGTTGACTATGCCACCCTCCTCTGAGGCACCCAGGCTCTCAACCTTGGTGTCATCCTTGATTCCTCACTCTCTCACCACCATCCTCCATAAGATCTATTGCCAAGGTCTGTTGATTTTACCCAATCCCCCTTAATTCTAGTGCCTTCCCTCTGTTGATTATTTCCAATTTATTCTACTATAGTTCGTTTGTACATACTTTGTTTTCATGTTATCTCTATTAGACTATGAGCTCCTTGAAAGTAGGGATTATCTTTTCAGATGAAGAAATTAAAGCTATCTATAGTTATATGAAGAAATGCTTTAAATCACTATTGATTAGAGAAATGCAAATCAAAACAATTTTGACAGGCCACATCACACCTATCAGGTTGGCAAAATAGGAAAATTATAAATGTTGGAGAAGATGTAGGAAAATTGGAACACTGACGGAGTTGTGAACTTATCCAACAATTCTGGAGAGCAATTTGGAGCTATGCCCAAAGAGCTATAAAAATGTGCATACCCTTTGACCCAGTAATACCACTTCTAGGTCTGTATCGTAAAGAGATCATAAAAATAGGGAAAGGACCCACATGTACAAACATATTTATATTAGCTCTCCTTGTGACGGCCAAGAATTGGAAATTGAGGGGATGTCCATCAATTGGGGAGTGGCTGAAGAAGTTTTAGTATGTGAATGTAATGGAATACTATTGTTCTATAAGAAATGATGAGCAGGAGGACTTCAGAAAAACCTAGAAAGACTTACATGAACTGATGCTGAGTGAAGTGAGCAGAATCAGGAGAACATTGTACACAGTAACAGCAACATTGTGCAATGACCAACTGTGATGGACTTAATTCTGCTCAGCAAAGCAAAGCAAAGATTCATGATGGAAAATGCTATCCACATCTAGAGAAAGAACTATGGAGTCTAAATGCAGATCGAAGCATACTATTCTCTCTCTGTTTTTGTTTCTTCTTTCTTGTGGTCTTTCACTTTGGTTCTAATTCTTCTTTACAACATGACTAATGTGGAAATATGTTTAATGTGAATGTATATGTATAGCCCATAGCAGATTGCATGCTGTCTTGGGGAGGGGGGAGGAGAGGGAGAGGAAGAAAATTTAGAACTCAAAATCTTAGGGAAGTGAATGTTGAAAACTAAAAATAAATAAATTTTTAAAAAATAAAAAAGGAAGTAGGGATTGTCTTTTGTTTTTCATTGTATCCCCTGTACTTAGCATAGTGCCTGGTACATAGTAGATGCTTAATAAATGTTTATTGACTGACAGACTAAAGGCTAATTGAATCAACTGGCTGTTAATAGGAAGCATACCAGTGGGGACTCCTGAGCTCTAGTGTTAGAAGTGTATAATGATGTGTGTTGTCCACAAAACCCCACAAGATTAACTCTAGAACTCTGAAAGTAGTTGTAGTTGTTTCTATGGGGACCCAACTTAAGAACCCAAGTATAAATTGGAGAAATGATACTAGAAAGGGTGCTACAGCAATAAAAAGATCATTGATGACCTTCAAGGGAGTAATTTGAGTAGTATATCGAAAATGAAAGCCAAATTATGAGAGGCTGAGAATATTGTAGAAGATGAAAAAGCAGGCTGTAAAGGGAAAGAGAGATAAAAGGTTATGGCATGAAGGGATGATTGGCTTTTATGATCCAACTGTAGATTGGAAAGGGACTTTAGAGGCCACTAAATGTACAACCTCTTCATCTTAAAAATGAAGAAATTGAGGCAAAGAGAGGTTAAGTGACTTGCTCTGGGTCACTAAATCTTTGGGAGGATTTGAACTCAGGTCTTTCTGCCTCCAGGTCCAGAGTCCTAGCTGTTATGCTACATGTTCTGGGCATGTTATAGACAATAGGAAAGGAGTCAGTGGATATAGAGAGGTTGAAAATTAAGGAGAGAGGGGATGATTAAAGGGACTAACTTCTGCTGGAAATGAGAAGGGATAGAATCAAGAGCGCAGTGAGGAGCTGGCTTTTTCAAGAAGGGCCACCTTGGGGCAACTAGGTGGCTCAATGGATAAAGCACCATCTCTGGAGTCAGGAGTTCGAGTCCAGTCTGAGACACATGATACTTACTAGCTGTGTGACCCTAGGAAAGGCACTTAATCCCAATTGCCTCATCCCGCAGAAAAAAGATTAAGTGGCAAGAAGGGCCACCTTATCCCCGAGACTAGAACAAAGGAAGAGGAAATGGGGGTAATGTAGGGACAGATAAATATCAATGACACTCAAAATGATATAAGAGGTAGGTAAGATACAATGGAGGAAACAAAAATGAAGGAAACAGAAGTGTCAGGTTACAACATAGCATAACTTACATTTTATTCTGTCCATTTGGAGTTAGGTGGAAGAATGGGGCTTGATGGGTCAGGGCTAAAATCACTCAGGCTTCATGTTCACTTTCTTTCCTTAGACTGTCATTCCCCAGAAGAAGGTAACATTAGGAACAACTGAGAAAAAGAGATAGATAAAAGGCAACTGTAATAGTCTGTAGAGCACAAACAAGAACTACCTGAACTTTAGAGGAAGGCTCCTGAGCTGCTGCTTCTACGTGAAAATCAGGTGTCAAGGGAGGATCTTAAAACCCTCTACTTCTTCAGGCCGAACAGTTTCTTCCTTGAGAATTCTCAATAATAACTCTCAATCTCTGTGTCTCTGTCTCTCTCTTTTTCTCATGTTCATCCCCATGCCCCCCTACCTCCACAACTGGAAAAATTAGCACAATCTGGTTCATTTTAATTCACTCCTAGGGCCATTCTACCATGTTCTGAAACAAAACAAAACAAGGCACCCAAAGCTTTGAGCATGGAACATTTAATTTTGATGGTGATGAACTGACTCCAAATCATGTACAGAACATAGATAGGGTTAGTATCTTAGCCCCAATCAGCGAATACAGTTGGGATCACCAACTGGCCACCAGTCCAGTTGAATAACTTTAGTCCTTCTTCCTCTTTCCCCACCTGTTCTGGTCCCCACACTCTCCTTAATAGAAATTCACAAAGGCAGTGAGAAGAGTAAATGCCTCATGCAGGTGTAGTCTTTCCACCTCCAAGGCACCAGGTTATCTCTTTCCTACTCGATTTTGTCTGGGTTCCCAATTTCTTACAGATAGATAGACAAGCTCGTTTTCCCTACAGGATGCTTCCATGGCTCCAGACTTAATTACTCATGACTTGTTTTCTCTCTTCTACCTTACACTGTCTTCCATTCACTGGACCCTAGCTTGACATCTTCCTGCTAAGTACCTTCTACCCACAACATGCTGGAGAATGTAATCTTCTCTTATCATTGCTATTATAATCCTGGACCCATGTTTTTTTAAATTTGTTTTGTTTTTGTGGTTGTGGTTGCGGTTGTATTTTTTTTTAAGAAGAATTACCCTGGAAATGAGGTCCTTGAACAGATAGAAATTTACCAGAGTTTCCTACATGCTCATGACTTTGACCCTGATGTACTTCTGAAGAGAGTATCAATGATGAAGAGCCTGGACATCTCGATATTGCCAAGGCAGGACTACATTCCAGACTGATCAAGCAAAGATATGAGTAATGGCTGGTGGCCATCATCTGGCGTGTGGACTTCAGTAGAAGTCATGGATTACAGCATATTGGAAAAGTGAGATTAGCCACAAGTAGAGTTAATAGATCATGCAGGAGGAAACCTTGTTTGGGACAGTTCTCTTTTCCCTTTCTCCATTCTTGGCTGAGTGGGTCACATTCTATATACCAGGACAAACTAATCCTTGTCATTGATGAAGGGAGGGAAGAAAAGTCCATTTTTCCCCCTCCCAATCATTGTAACCCAGATGCCTCGCATTCAAATTTTCACTTTTGCCCACTGTTATTTGAGGTTGCTATACAAACATTTGATGGCCATCAGACAGAGTTAGTGATCCCTCCCTCCTTCCTCCAAATTTCTGATGTTCATGGAACTGGATTTTCAGAGCTCTGAAGCATCTCAGTATCAGCACTAGTGAACTTTCTCTGATTATTTCCAGTCTTGGTGGTTTCCAAGGTCCCTGCTATGAATTTCTGGCCACACTTCTGACTTCTGTGAGGTTTTCTGTGGGAGGTGACAGGGTTCTGATCTTGTTACCTCTGGACCCAGAAACCTGACACACTACACATTTACATGTCTCTGGTTCATTTCTGGTCTCCTTGAGTTGGTCTCTGGCTTGTTGGCCTAAGCTGGAGTAGGGTTTTGATGAGAGCCTCCTTTCCTATTGTGTATAATTTTTTGGTTAACTTTTTGTGTAGTTGTGAAGTGGAAGAATTGGCTTACTATAGTTTTCCATTAGATTTCTTTATCAGTTTTCAGATAATATTTAGGTTTTTGCTGAAGTAGGTTTGTGGGAGCTGGGTTGTATGCCCCTATTCAAGTATTCATCTTGGTTGTGAGTTTTCCGTTCTACCACTATGTCCACAAAGTTTTCCACCTTCTGTTTATCCTCCTTTTTTTCTGTTTAAAGATTTTCATTTAAAAAAAAATCTACTTCACTTCATCTAGGTATTCTTGTAGTCTTTGGAGACAAACTATTCTTTTCTCCAGAGCTTTCCTTGACTTTCTTGTGGAGTTACTCTCTTCTCCTTGGTTTATCTCTTGGGTTTCTTTTAATTCTTATTATTGCTTTTAAAAATGTATTCAGCAATTTATTCTATTTTCTTATCCTTCAAGTCTTAGTTTCTGGACAGTGACTTTACACTTGGGCCAGACTTTGCTAACGCAGTATTTGCTCCAATATTTTTGGATGGGGTAGCTGGTCCTGTCCACTCTGTAATTTGGAAGCTATTGCCTCTGCTGTGCTGGATGTGGTGGCTAACATTCAGACCTGTCCTCTTGAGGAATTCCTTGATTCTGGCTCAGTCTCCTGATGGCTTAACTCACATTCTAGTCTTGGCCCATTCCTGTTTCCTTGCAAGATTCTGAACTATGAACAGCCTCTGTCCCTCACTGTGGCCATGACAGGCCCCAACCAGATGCTGATTGTGCCGGCAGCAGGCCTATCCCAAACGCCAGGTTCTTTTCTTCTCGGTGCTGTCCTGATCTTGTATTCTGCCATGACTCTAGTGCTGGTTGTTTGGATGCTGTGCTGCCTGGGTACTGGTCTGGCCTTGTCTCCTGCTGTGACTCTAGTTCAGGCTTTCTGGATGCTAGTGTTTTTGCCTCTTCTGGTTTGTCTCCACTTAAAGCATGCCAAACCTTCTGACAATCTTCCCAAGCAGTGCTGGACTTGAAGGAGGAGCTTAGAGTCAGTTCTCTTGGTTTTGTACTGTTTTTTTCATTGTCATTTCTTTGGGAGCTCTTTTAGAATTTTACTGCAGCATCTGAGGGAGGTATGGGCTTTTTTAGGTCCTGTCATGTTACCATCTTAACTGGAAGTCTTCCAGTTCAGGCTTAGTAGACGCAGCAATAGTTTTAATAAGATCTATGATCATCAGCCCAAAGCACAGACCAGTTCAGGTACAGGTACAGATAAGTCAATAGGTTGCAAAAGAGCTAGGATTATTCAATCAGTGACCAGACTGATTTAAGATGTATGGAGGGACAGCTTAGGATATCCTCAAGGACATATACTAAAGCTAAAGTTTACTCATGTATTGTATGCCTTGTATGCATTTGCACATGTTAATTAATGCGCATGTTAATGCTGCATTATTGAATATGCTTATGTTTTTTATGTTTATTTGATTTTGTGCTAGTCATATGACTATTATAACTGCACTATGATAATTGTGAATACTTTTGCTATTGTGTATATATTGCCGCATATTTTGGGTTTTTTTGTAAGCTTACTGATTTTGCTTTACTCTTACAGTTATTTATGTTTGTTTTTATTTTATGTATATGCATGCCATGTTGTGACATGTGCATGTGTTATATCCTGCAAGTAATTTAGACTAGTTGTCCCTGAAGCAGGTTGTCAGGTGATGGTTTGCATTGTGCTGTCTAATGCATGTACTGTTGATGTATAACTTCTGTGAATGGCACCCTAAGGTAATTATATGGAACACTGGGTTAATCATCATTGTTCTGTTAAGTGCTGGTGTTCATTTTCATGTTATACTGTGTAATTCAAGTGTACTACGGCTGATTTTTCAAGGGATGGCAAAATTTCAAACCCTGGGGAAGAATGTTATCAGGCATTCAGACTTTTTCAGTGGGCGGGGAAATGTTTGGGGACCAAGCAGCAAGACTTTCTGAGAATTGTAGTTCTAATGGACAATGTGAGTTCCTCCTCTCTCTCATCTGAAGGGATAAGAATCACAAAACTAAGTGAAGAATGTGGGACTGAATGCAGAAGTTCTAATGAGGGGAGAGAGAAAGAGTGAGAGAAAGAGAGAGAAGGGAAGGGAAGGGAAGGGAAGGGAAGGGAAGGGAAGGGAAGGGAAGGGAAGGGAAGGGAAGGGAAGGGAAGGGAAGGGAAGGGAAGGGAAGGGAAGGGAAGGGAAGGAAGGGAAGGGAAGGGAAGGGAAGGGAAGGGAAGTCCGCAGATATTTTGCAATGTAAGTTCAGAGACTGGAGTTGAGATATTGTAGATTTAGCTCCAGTAGTCACATCCTCCACTCACTGGAAATAAACTGATGATGTGGCTGGAATGAACTAAAGTGGCTGGTTGTTGTTATTCACTGAGATCAGTGAAAGGATACTGATTACCCCCTTTCCCTGTGCCTGTAGCTGGCAGGCATTTTCTATAGACTTTCCTAATTTGTTTTAACTAATTCTAATTCCTGATATTATCTCATGTGAATTATGATCAATCATAAATATTCCATGACTCATATATGCTAATTAATTGTGTACAGAGAGATTACAATAGAAGATACCACTGGGATACACAGAATTAAACAAAATAGAGGTCTGAAGCATAGTCCAAAACGCTAGGGGCTCCAACTTTGCCAACAGCAGAGGCAAACCTCAGAGATTCCAGCAAAGATCTTCAAGGCAGGTGGTCCACTGTTCCTTCAGAAGCTGACTGAAATCTTCTGGATCACATGGAAAGAGGAAGTTATGCCCCAGGAGATCAAGGACACCTCCACTGTCCATCTTTATAAAGGAAAAAGAAACAAGCTGTCCTGGGGCAATCACAGGGGGGAATCTTTCTCTTAGTCATTGCTGGCAAGATTCTTTCCAGAGCCCTCCTTAATAATAGGCTGACCCTTCCTAGAAGATCCTTCTATCCAAGAATCAGTGTGACTTCAGAAAGGGCTGAGGAACAGTCAACATGGTGTTTGCTACCCGGTAACTCTAGGAAAAATGCCAGGAGCAGAACAGAGGTCTATACACAACATTCATCAACCTGACCCAGACCTTTGATACTGTTTAGTAAAGGGCTTGTGTCAGATCATGGCAAAATGTGGTTGCCCAGAGAAGTTCATCAGGATTGCACACCAGTTTCATGACTTGTATAGGTTCTGGATAATGGACAATGCTCTCATGCTTCCCCAGTCACCAACAGAGTGAAGCAAGCTGTGTGCTATCTCCCATGCCTTTTCTTTTAGCATGATGTTTTTGGCAACGTTGTTGGCTGCCTTCAATAAGGATGAGAACATCATCAAAGTCAGCTACTGCACTGATGGTAAGCTATTTAACTTGAAAAGACTACAAGCCAAGACCAAAGTGGAGAGAAAGCTGGTACTTGATTTTTTGTTCACACTCAATGCAGGGTATAGATCGATTCTCTGCTGCTTGTGCTAATTTTGGTCTGACCATCAACACCAAGAAAACAGAAGTCCTCTACCAGTCTGTACCATACCATCAATATATGGGATCATTGATCACAGTAAAGGGAGACATTTTGAATGCTGTGGATAAGTTCATTTATCTTGCAGTATACTTTCTGGGGATGTCCACATAGATGATGAGGTGGATTCACTAATTGTCAGAGCTAGCTCAGTGATTGGGAGGCTCTGAAATAAAAGTGTGGGAGAGAAGAGGTATTAAGCTGTACACTAAACTGATGGTCTACAGAGCCATTGTACTGATTTCACTGATGTGGCCTGTGAAACCTGGACAGTCTATTAGCATCATGCCAGAAAATTGAATTGCTTCTACTTGAATTGTCTTAGGAAGATTCTGAAGATCACCTGGCATGATAAGGTACCAGACACTGAGGTCCTCTTTTGAGCTGACTGCCAAGCATTCAACTCTACTGCATAGGGTGCAACTCCAACGGGCTGGCCATGTATTCTGAATGCCAAATGCAGGCTTACCTAAAAGACTATTTATAGAGAACTCACATAAGGCAAGCATGACATGACATGGTGGTCAGAAGAAGCAATTCAAGTATACTCACAAGGTCTCTCTGAAGAATTTTAGTATTGATTGTGAGACACTGGCATAAAACAACCTAGTATAGCACGCCTGCATCAAAGAAGGCAACATACTTCATGAGCAAATCAGAATCACAGTAGCACAAAGAAAACATGAGCTGTATAAATCCAGAGACCCCTCCATTCTAAATGTTCTAATGGATTATTTGTACCCAATGTGTGGTAGAGCCTTCTGAACTCGTATTGGACTGATCAGCCATAGTCGAACACACTGTATCCTGACCCCAACATCATGATGTCATTGGTCCTCTCTGGAAATGAAGGATGAACACTTCAGAGATACTGCAGGTTTGGTTTGTGACCATTGGAATAAAGTGAATATCGCAATAAAGCTAGTCACACAATTTTTTTTTGTTTCCCAGTGCATATAAAAGTTATATTTACACTATACTATAGTCTATTAAGTGCACAATAGTATTATTTTTTCATTATATTTGAATTTATTTTAAATTTAAATATAAATAAGAAAAGAATTGCCAGGTACACAGAAGAATATAAGAGAGGATTTAATATAAAGCAATAAATTTCCATTTCAAAAAAATCTGTATAATAAATACTACACATTATTTTCAAAGCTGTCCATCTTTTTTTTGCTTCCTTGTATGTTTTCTTTTGTCCTCTGCTGTGCACTGTTTACTTTATTTTCACCCCTTCCTCCCCTCCCAAGAAGGCTACAATTAAGTGTGGATATATGTGTTTATGTATGCATATATACATACATGTGCACACACATACATATATGTACATATATATCAATAAATATACACACATATACCTCAAACACACATATGTATGACTGCATTATGCTTATTTCCACTTGTCATTTACTTCTCTCTAGGTGAATAGCATCTTCCTTCATATGTCCAAGTCTTTCCATATTTTTCTAAATCTACCAGCTCATCATCTCCTACACCACAACAATATTCTGACCCGATCACATTCTATCTGGGAGATTGTCTATGGGAGTTTTTCCTTCTAATTTTTCTGCATTCCCTATATTCTTGGCTACATAGGTTTTATTTATATAAGAAATTTTTAATTTAAAATAATCAAAATTAACCATTTTACACTTCAACATTGCTCTTACCTTATCATACGGTTTAAGGTCTGATACCACTGAATCGAGTTCCTTCATATCTTTTCCCTCTGGTTTCCTTGAAGTTTCTGACCCTCTGCTCTTCCAAATGAACACTGTTATTATTTTTTCTAACTTAGTAAAATAATTTTTTTAGTTATTTAATTGGGATGATATTACATAAATAGATTACTTAGGTAAAATTGTCATTTTAAAAAATTATATTAGCTTTACCTACCCATGCATAACAAATATTACTTCAATTATTTAGATCTAATGTTGCATAAAAGGTGTTTTGTGTTTTATTCATATAGCTCCTGTCTGTTTTAGCAGGTATACGCTCATATTTTTTAATACTGTCTAGTTATTTTATATGGTCTAAAACTATTGATTAGGATGGCTGACACATAGTGTAGTTTCCTTATTTTTCTCTTTTGATTAAATCTGATTTTAGCTTTAACTCTGAGATCATGATTACTATTCCTGCTTTTTTACATAATACATTGTACTCCTGACCTTTATTATATGTTTGTGTGTATCTCTCATTTTTATGGCATTTCCTAAAAGCAACATATTGTTGAATTCAAAATTTTAATCTACTATCAGTTTCCATTTTATGAGTAAATTAATCCCATTCACATTCTAAACTCTAATTACTTGTATATTTTCCTCCTTCTTATTTTCCTCACTATCCTTCTTACCCTATTCCTATCTCTCCTCCCTCCTCTACTTTATTTCTACCCACTACCTTGCCCTCCTATTCTTTAACCAACACCCCTCCCACCAAGGATATCTTCTTTATCCTCTCTGTCCACCCTATCTCCTTGCCCTCTTATTTCTTTCTGAATTTAGAAGATTTTTATATCCTTTTAAATATATATGTTGTTCCCTCTTTATCCCATTCCTGTTAATCTATATACTCTTCTCTACGTCCCACTTTATCCTATTCCCTATCCCTCCGTTATCCTCTCTCCCCTCCCTATTCCCTGGCCCTCAGTATTATTTCTTTAAAAAAAAATAAGTATACCTTAATTTAAAAATACTTGATTGCTAAAAACATCTGAACCTTCAAAAAGTTGTAATCTTTTTGCTGGTGGAAGGTTTTGCCTCGATGTTGATGGCTGCTGACTGATAAGGGTGGTGGTTGCTGAAGATTGGGTTGGCTATGAAAATTTCTTAAAATAAGACAATAATGAAGTTTGCCACAGTGACTGACTCTTCCTTTCACCTGAACACTTAGAGGCCATTATGAGTTATTAATTGGCCTAATTTCAATTTTGTTGCATCTCAGGGAATAGGGAGGCTCAAGGAGAGGGAGAGAGCTGGTTGGTGGAGCAGTCATTACACACACAACATTTATCGATTATATGAGCATTTAAATTATACGAGCAATTGCTTATATGAGCATGGTTTGTGGCACCCCAAAACAATGACAATAGTAATATCAAAGATCACTAATCACAGATCTCCATAATAATAATGGAAAAAAGTTTGAGATATTGTGAGAATTACCAAAATGTGACAGAGACATAGATATGAGCACATGCTGTTGGAAAAATGGTGCTGACAGACTTGTTCAGCACAGGCTTGCCACAAACCTTCAGTTTGTAAAAACAATTATCTGAAAAGCACAATAAAGTGAAGCACAATATAACTAAATATGCCTGTATTTGTGATATAGAATCTTGTGTAGTTGTTAAATAATCATTAAATAATTAAACAATTTAAAAACAAAATAATCATTAAAAGCTTCTAAATAGCAGAAATAGATATGATTTGAGACCACTTACCCTTAGGCTATTGAGTAACCAAGGTTTATTGTTGCAAGCCACGCCCTGGAGTGGATTGAGGTTTTGAAGGGGAGAAAGTCAGTATTTCTGACTTTCAGGTAGCCTGCCTGACAGCACCATCTGGTGGTTATAGAAGTGTATACACAATATATTCAACTGTATACTGGGTCATTTTAGGAGGGAGAGTCGAGGAACTTGGGGTATAAAGAAAGGCTTCATGTAGAAGGTGGTGCTTAAACTGAGTCTCATAGGCAACAAGTCAGAGGTTGGAAAGGAGTACATCACATGGCTAATATGGAAATATGTTTTGTATGACTTCCCACATATTGATATCACACTGCTCGCCTTCTCAAAGGGTAGGAGAGGACAGAGAGGGAGAAAATTTGTAACTTAAATTCTTTTCAAAATGAATTTTAAAAATTATTTTACATATAATTGGTAAATATTTAATGAAATAAATAAAAGCTATTTTTATAAAGAAAGAAAACAGTGCATTCCAGGAACAGGGTACAGTCAGTGCAAAGGCACTGGGAGGAACACCAAGGACATTTTTGATGGGACCGTAGAGCATAGGAAAGGGAACAGGATGTATAATGAGACCTGAAAAGTAGGTTACAGTCGAATTGTGAAGGGTTTTAAATGCCAAACAAAGCAATTTACATTTGGTCCTAAAAGCAATAAGGAAGTTTAGAGTTTGTTGAACAATGGCATCAGGGAGTCAGCGCGGCCCTTAAAAAGAATCACTTTGAGACAAGAAGAGGAGAGGGAAGGGCAAGAGCAGAAAGAAAAGGGAGCAAGGGGTGGAGTGGATGGTGGAAGAAAATAAGGTGAATCTAGAGGTAGAAAAAAGTGATATAAAAGACTGGAGATGGAGGGAGAAAAAGAGATCATGTGAGGTAGAAAGATTGTTTTAGGGAGATAATGGGAGTAGGGAGCTGGAAGAAAGAAAGGGGAAAGAGGAGAAGGAGAAGGAGCAGCAATGAGCAAGAGCCAGAGCCAGATAAGCATGGTCAAGCCAGTCTGGGACACAGCAGTGAGAACTGACTTTGAGGGTGAGCTCAGAGAGCCTGGTAGACCCTGTCGCCTCCTGTCATGCCTACAGTGACCCAGATGCTCTCTACTCCATCATCCTACACCAAATACAACTTTTACTGCCTGTATGGAGTACATTTTGGGGGTAGAAAATGTTTCCTAATTACTATGAGAGGAAGTAGAATATTCTCCTTTCCACCATGGAAATGTGATTGAGAAGAGTGAACACTCCCAAAGGGCCTTAGACTTTGAAAATATCATGAAAAAATTTTCTGATAGCTTCAGGTGCTATGAAGACAGATCAGATTCTATTGCATGAGATAGCATTACAAATCTTGTAAGAAGTGTTGGGATGGGGGCAACTAGGTAGTACAGTGCATTCATGAGGACCTCAGTTCAAATTCGGCCTCAGACACATAATACTAGCTGTGTGACCTTGGACAAGTCACTTAACCCCACCGCCCAGCCCCGCTCCCCTCAAAGTGTTGGGATGAATATGGTGCTTTTACCATCCTTATAAACTTTCAGATCTATCAAGATTCAGTCAGGATTGATAATAATGTAGCGAAGACCATCCTATGAAGCATGCTCAGGGGCTGCCCCTTCTGTTTCTAGTTGACCCTGTAGGGAGTTTGGGGTCCCACTTCCATGGCAAACCCTGGGTTTGCAAGATTCCAGTTTATATTAATAAAAGGGAATTCAGCATATCCTTTTATTTTGGCTGTAGAATAAGAGAGATTAAAAAAAATAAGTCCCCTTCCTCATCCTTCAAAAAAAATTGAGGTTATAGTATTACCTAAAAGGCATAGAGAGGAATTTTACTATGATTATAGTGAAAAAATGAGTCAGTACTGTTGTAAATATTGTGCCTTATTCTTTTCTATGTTAATCTTGCTTAAATTTCTCATTTCTTAATTTTAATATGATACAATCTCCCAAATTTTATTAATTTTATAATAAATATTGGTAGTAAAATTGTAAAAATTAAATTAAATTGTTAACAAATCTGCATCTATTATTACTATTACTAAAATGGAAAAAAATTATCTTTTGGTGTGGTTCATAGCTTAAACAAATAATTGTGAGCTGGTGAAAACTCATTTGATTGGTATAGCCTTAGCCTCTAGGATGCACGCATGCATGCTAAGATTCCACTGACCCAGAGATAGGCATTGCTTCTCTCCTCAGCTACTTGCTTGGGGTGGGCATAGTTAGAGTTAAATATCCTGGGTCTTTGCCCCTCATTCTTCATTCCATATTAGGCAACTCAGAAAATATCCTGCCTTTGCTACCGGGAAATAAGAAATACAGGAAATGGGATACCGAAGTCTATCCTGCCCTACAGGAAAATAGAAGGGGAAGGGGATGAGAGAAGGGGGGGGGAAGAGATAGAAGAGAGGACAGACTAGGGGAAGGGATACAGAATGCATGCCATCTTGGGTTGGGGGGAAGGGAGAGATGGGGTGAAAATTTGGAACTCAAAAACTTGTGGAACTGAATATTGAAAACTAAAAATAAATAAATTTATATTAAAAAAAAAAAGAAACTATCCTGCTTTTAGTGGTCCAGACTACTCCTCTGCCTTGTCCCACAGGTAACAGGCAGTGTCCTATTAGTGCCACATCAGCTCTTTGTCTAAAACCTGATACAGCCCTGTGTAGATTTGAGGTCTCAAACTGCTATGCATGCATCGTTTACTGCATGCATACAGCTTGCTGTATGTCCAAGCCCATAGTCTGCCTGGGGAGCTGGGGTTGGGAGGATGGGGGGAGAGGGCAAAGGTGAGATAGGTAGGTTGGGCTGGAGAGAGCTACATCTATATTGGCCCCTGTTGGCATCTCTTCCCATGGGTGTGTCACTTGTAGGACAAGTTCTCTCCCTTTTTGCCCTGCACTAATCCAAATAAAATTATATTTAAATGGATTTTAGTATTTTGGAAAGTAGCAGCACTATTACTTAAGTAAGAAAGAAGTTCCTGGTCTGTTGAAAACTCCTCTCTATAGTCAACTCCCTTCATCTTCAGATGAAGAAACTTCCCAAGGGAAGTTTTGACTTGCTCACCCAGGTAGTTAGTATCAGAAATATGATTTGAACCCAGATCTTCTGACACTACAGCCAGAGTTCTTTCCAGTGTACCATGCTGATGTGAGATATTACTTTGCTTTAGCATTTCCTTTTTGTCATTGAGAAGAATGATATGCCGTTATGCCTTTATTTCTGTGGAGGATAGATGCTCTCTTCCTTTGATTGGCAATAACTATTATTATAGCACTGAATAAATGGTTACTTGGTAGCTCTTGGTCCAGAATTTTATTAGCAATAATTTTGAGTAGTTATGATAGCAGTGGGATCAAAGGAAAAATTTTCAAATCAGTGGTAATACATTCTAATAAACAGGCATTTCAATGAGTTATGTCCTCTTCTTACTGTGCCTAAGAAATTTTCTTTGAAATTCACAAATTCACATTCTATAGACAGATAAATGTATAGAAAAAATATATGTGTGTGTGTATGTATGTGTGTGTGCTTTGGCATTTTTGCCCCCAAGTGGCCATATACACCTGTGCCATTATTTGCTAGCTATGAAAAAAAGACAGAAAAATAATATGGAAGTAGAAAGGTTTTTATTAGATTAGTTAAATATTGCACATTCATTAACATTTCCCAAATTCATTCAGAAACTAAATGTCTGGCTGTATATTTGGTTGTTAATATTTTGGGGGTTTAGTGGGGGTTTAGTGAATTTGTATGTGTGTAGAGCACTTACTAGTGATGTCATAATTATGAGGTATAACCAAAAAGTAATGAAAACGAATTTATAAGCCAGAAAGTTTCCTTAGAAGTCATGAGTCAGATTCACATGCAAGGTTGATTTAGGGATTGCTGCCTACCAATGGCAAATATCAGGAAGAAGCCATATGTAAAGAATATAAGGAGAAGAAAGGGTTTTTATCAGGGATTTATCATTTTATAGGATTTTATCAGGGAACAGGTGCCCCAAGAGCAAGTTCAATAGGCAGAGCCTCGAATATAAGCACCGATTAAAAAAAGTCCAAAGGGATATATATATATATATATATATATATGTGTGTGTGTGTGTGTGGTCTATTTAGTAAAACAGCTCTTTTTCTCAGATCTTGGCCAACTTTTGCCTAAAGAGCTTATCTCTACTAGACTTAAGGGTTAATTTACATTGATATTAATGCAGCATGTGAGCTTTGGCCCCACTTTCTCTGGTACCTGAGGGACCTGGGTGTGTGTCTTCTCTACTGCCACTAACTTGAGCCCTGACTAGCTATGTTTTCTCCCTTTTTAGGGGGCCAATAACTAGTACCCCAATTTTATTTAATCACTTAACATCAAGTAGCTTTTACAAAGTAATATTTACCTCAAAGACATAGCAAGAACATACAAATACTCTCTCGACAATATCAGTGTGTTACACTCTCTCCTGTACCACCTAGGTTTCTGTGAAAGGCTTAACATTTAGCTTATTTTCTACATAGGACTATTCCCACCAAGTCCATATCATAAGTCCTTTGCATGGCGGGAATCCTGAGGGTTATTCCCAAAGTTCTCTTCTTACTCCTCAGGGAGCAATCGATCAATCCATGTTGCTAGCTGCAACATCTAGTCTAAATTCTGTCTCCTGGATTTCTTAACTCCTGCTCCTGACCCAGATCTGAGATGCAATTCCCTGCATCTAGAACAGAAGAATTGTTAATGAATGAACAGTCCAAAGAGACCCCATTTCTTGGGAGCCATATGGTGAGAGTAGGAAGGCCCTGAGGCCTTTCCTCTTACAATCTCTCACCAGATGTTATCACACCCCCAGAGCACAGCTAAAGACAATGAGGTGGAAAAAAGAGCTGGCCAAAGCTGATCCAGGCCTTTATGAAGATGCAAAAAATTCCATGAATACAATCAATTGAAAAAGGCTTCTCCCAACCATGTGGTATCAAGAAGAACCAGTTACAGAATAGCCAGGTATGCTACAGTCTCTTCATCCTTGCAATTCT